TATATATATATATATATATATATATTAATGCCGTCCTAAGAACGGCCCAGTATCGTAACAAATTACGGGACCTTTATGTTAGAACGAGACGTTTCTCATTTAGTTGAAAAAACCAATTGTTTATATAATTTTTTAGTATATTATATGCATGTTACAAAAGGAACATATTTATTTACATTATTTTTGAGACATAAAGGCAATATTATTATCTACTTAAATTTTATAAATTTTTGGGATCTGTTATATGGATTTACACTTTACTCAATATGCAACATCAATTACTAGTTGCTTTGGAGAATGCGTTGTTACAAAGCAAAACAACTTTTAAACGATTTACCATTTGATGTGGAAAGTCCACTATAATCTTTGCAATGGATGTGTTCCACAAATAAAAATATAAATTTGAATAAGAAAATCTTATTGATATTATTTTGGTAAATGCAAAGCTTATCCAATCTGAACCCATTTGTAAAGTCCCTAATAATAACTCCATATATATGAACCAAACACTTCTCATTATATACAACCGTTCTGGAACCGAATTATAATTTCATGCTTCGAGTGACAGCAACTACGTGTACTCTTAGCCAAAGCACACAATCTTCAATAAACCCATCTTAGAGCATACCAAGAAACATTACATTAATTTTTAAACCTAAAATTATCATGTTATTTTGAAAGAAACTTTCCTAGGGAGGCATAATATCAAAACCGATGGAAATTCGGATGTTCTTGGGGCTGATGGATGTTATCCCAAACGATTCCACAAGTTATTGCTTTTTAGTGCTCATCTTAAGAGTACTCAAAAATCTGTTTCAACACCAATTTACAATAAAAACAATTTGTCATTATGATCCTAATAACAAGAAGAGTTTGAAGAACAAAAATGTTAACTAAAAAATCAACTACACGCCTCAGATAAATATGTTTCTTCTTTCTTATGTTGATATAAAAGTTGTACAACCCATTTGATATACTCTCTCCAATGAAAACAGTATGAGAAGTATATATTGTCAAGCGCATATGTCCTCGAAACATATATAAAAAATAGTTATATTATAACTATGTGAATGAAGATCGAGGCGAATATATGCTTCATCTAAAGTTATCTAGCCTTTTAAGTGCAAGAGGAATAACTTGCATTCTCGACTTGGGATTAAATCTATTGCCTTTCACATGTTATAAATATTCATCTAAATCACTAAAAATCACATGGTTGATAATAAGCAGAAAAAATCAAACCATGCGATGAAAGAAGTGATGTCATATGGTGAAAGAAGAGAAGTACACCATATCAAGATTTTAAAGCCATATTATTATTAGTTTATTACAATAATTAATTTTACAATCAAATAATGCAAAGGGAATGGGGATTTGAGAAAATATACATTTTTGAACCATAGATATATTTTGATGAAGTAGTGAAGTTTGTAACAAAGAGTAGTAGAAAGTGTCATGATAAAACTAAATCAAAAAGTTTCTATTCATCTTATACCAAATTCACAGGCATGTAGAGAGAGAGAGAGAAATAAAGAAAATACCTTCCAACACCAGATTCAATATCATTTGGACCGTATACATTGAACAATCTTCAACAAGTGTTAACAAACGAATACCAATAGCTTTTCCAACAAGCAACTCGGTCAACTCATCTATTGTTTTTTATTCCACGAAGATTGGGCTCATTAAAACTCATATGAATCACATTCATTTTCAAATCGACAACTTCCTTCTCTTTCAAAACATATCTCATTATAAGCTTCAAAAGAATGGATCACATCCATCTCAAAGTCCTTCCATGGATGTATCATTATGGCAAGGTATAAAAATGGGTATGCTGACTATTTATTATAATACCATTTTTCTCAAACAAGTAATAGAAGTGATTTGTTGGAAGACCCCAGGCATTTGTCATAATTAGAAAATTAGTAGTCGTGATATCATAGAAAAAATAAACCTAAACAGATTTGGAAATGAAAGGGTTTACTCGTTCTTCTCTCTTTTTTAAATTCTCAATCATGTAACAATTTTTTTGGTTGAATTATTTCATCAACTTTATAAAATATCTTATTTATATGATCACGGTACACATAAACTTTCTTACCATGATAGGAAGGCTCTTTGAGGAAAATTATAATTTCTCAGTAGCTTGTCAAGAGGCAACAAATGTGGTCTGACAATAGGAAAATCAGATCAATTGTTCATAAGCTGAAGTTCTGAACCCATAACATGTATTTTTCATTTAAAGTAATATTTCTTTAAACTATGTGTGTATGATACATGGGCATTTTCATCTTTTTGATGATATAATGAACCTTGCAGTATTCCTGGAGCTATTGGAGCACTTACACCCCGTTCTCGAGTTCAACTTAACGAGAGAAATGAAAGGAAATGGGTGGAAATGAAAAGAAAATAAAAAAAATTGGTGTTCCCGAGTTTCATTAAAGGATGGAAGTGGAAGGAAGTGGAGGGAAATAGGAGGATCACTTTCCCTCCTAACTTTCCTTCCGATTTGGGAGGATTTGGAAAGAAAGAACAAAATGATTCATTTTCCTTCCACTTCTCTTCAACTCGGGAAGACAAAAGAAAATTTTGTTTTCATTTCTTTTTTCTCATGACTTTTTTTTCTCTTCTCTTCTTTTCTTTTGTTAAACTCTTCTCTTCTTTTCTTTTGTTAAACTCGGGAACGAAGGCGTTAAAGAATGTTGAATAACATAATTAATTCAAGATAGCGAAATGTTATAATTACCCGTTAATGTTTCCTTAATGCTCTCGTCCATTAACCTGAAGAAGACCTAGTACAGGGGAAGAACAACAAATACATTAGGTTAAAATTATAACATAATATATATCTATAAAATAAAACCAAAGGAATTTAGAGAGACGACAAAACTTAACACAATGAAGTAGAACAAAAATTCTCTTCTATTCTTTTGATGATATAGAGCCAAAAATTCAACCATATTGGCGTAAATCCATCGGGTAGAAAGAAATAAAAATAGTGGAGGCGATACAAAGAGGATGCCCCAATTTATAATCGAAATTTAAACCAAAAAACACAACCCATAGGATGAGGAACTATTTTATTTCAGCTTTTGCTAATCAAACATGTAAAAAACACTTATACGGTCTGACATATCATCCAACAACACCGTGAGTGCACCTTTCCATCTCCATAACTTCCAATCCCATAAAAAACCCTAATTTGTAAGAAGGAAATGGATCCACGTGCAATATTGGTGATACAAAAAAGAAATATGACATACCGGATTGAGGCCGGATGTGCAAACCCTAAAAGTTCAACACGTAATTGAGCATTCATCGGTTCCTTTGGAGCCTTATCCATGTTGTTAGATGTACGTCGTTTAACTCAAAGTAGGAGGTAAAGTAATCAATTATTCTGTCATCTTTCTCGCTTGAATGTGGTTTCGTTGAATGTGGTTTAGGAATATGAAATGTGAGCAGGAGGAGATGTGAGTACCAAGAGAAATAAAACATTGTATCCGTATGTTCTGGAAAACCAAGGAGCGGTGGTGGTTCAGGCAGCACCTAATTTATCGTCAAAAAACAAACAATCAACAAAGCGAAAACCCAAAATCTATCATCAAAATGCAGAGCGGTGGAGAACGGTTATCAAAAACGACGGGATGGGAGGCGGGGACAAGTCGATATCCTTGGTCTTCATAGTTAATTTCCTCCTAATTTGAAGAAAGAAAGTCGTAGCAAGTAAAAGCAAAAGGTAGGAGGGAGAGCCGCCGGACCAAAGATCGTGATTTTTCTTGTGGAAGAAGATAAAGGAGGGGGACAATGCAAAAATGTTCTTGGAAAAATATGAAAGAAAAGAGGAGGTGGGGAGTGTAGATGGAGGTGTCCATCGGCACACAAACATAATGGAATGATTTCCATCTATCCCTCTTTCGTCTCTTCTCAGTATAGATTAATAGATGTGGGAAATGGACTACCCAAAGCCCAACAACACCCGACCCAATGAAGCATCCCATTCAAATATGACTAAATACCCGATCGATAAGCTTGAACCATCAAGGAAAAAAGATTTCCTTCCACTTTCCTCTAAATCTAGAACAGTAGGCTTTTATTTATATATATATATATATATATATATATATATAAATAAATAAAAGAATGATCATTTGAGAACTCAAAATTTTCCGAGAACCCGAGAACTAAAAGTGGAACGTTGGATCAATTTTTTGGACGGATTATATAATTAGTGGCATACTTTGTAAATATAAGTAAATTTAATGGTATATTAGGTTTTTAACAATACATCACAGGGGTAAATATGGTATAAGAAAATTAAAAAAAATCAAATTACTTATTAATTGAAATATCAATCAGTATCTTTTCTTTTTCTCTCTCTCTCTCTCTCAATGTATCGTGTTCTTCCCCTCTCCGTTGACCACCTCCCTCCGCCCTTCAACAACCACCGTACCTATGTCATCAATCGACGCCTTACACTGTCACCGTAGATCCAGAATCAAAATCTCTTTCGTTGATCCATTGTATCATAAACATATCTCCACTGAAGATCCCGACGATTGATAGATTGAACAACGCGGTAGCGACATCCTTCTTCCCTCTCGGAGTTTCGTGCCCTAATTTCGGACCTCGCGATTTGTATCTTGTTATCTTCGATTACCAACAGACTAAATAGTGTCGCGGTAGAATTCCGTATCACTGGATCGTTGGTCGGTGATAGTAAAAAAAGTATGTGATCGCCATCTTTTATTCTAGCATCTCCAAGGTCAGTTGCGCTTCGTCTTCGTCGGATGGCACGTCGGCGACCGTTGGAAAGCCCAAGAAGAAGACGCAGGACCGTCTATCCGGTGTAATAGACGCTGTTAATAACCGGAAACTCCCTCCTGAACTACGTGGCCAACGCAACAATATTAGGTATCATCTCTTCTCTATCAATTCTCATGTAAATAATTCTGAATTCGTAAATTACCCTCTTCTTCTCAACATTTCAAACCCAATTAGTCGAAATCCGATTAACGTTCGATCAGTAAATCATTCAATTAGAGAATCCTTGTTTCAAATTGTAACGACGTAAATTTTAAAACAATTTTTCATTTTCCAAACATAAATAAACTCATATAATATTCTCAA